GGTTGAAAGTAAGTGGATTAGTAAGTGATATATTGTTAGTATTTTTGGCTAAAGAGAGCATCTTTTTTGTTTGTATATAATTAAAATTTTAATTCTATTCTCAATAATTAATCGGATAAAAAACACATACCTATAAAGTTTATAGAAGGTTATTGAATTGAACGAAGAAAATATAAACTAGTGTACTAAGATTTTATTTAATTTGTATTAGGATCAATATGGTTAAAACGCGACAAAACAAAAAAAAACAAAAGTAAGAAATAAACTTGTCTTTATTATTATTCTTATTATATTATTTTTATTGATTTAATTTTTAATCATTAGATTCTAAATCTTCTTTGAGGCCTATCGATAATTCATTTGAAAATCTTGAGGTTCAAGCTATGGACACGATCATTATAGAAAGCCAGAGAGAAATAAGTCCAGATCATACTAACGTGAAAAGGCGAAGAGGAAATAAAAAAGCCAGCTTGACTAGTGGCAACAATGGTATACTATTATTGTATAATTTTATAACATAACATACAATAATAAATTTGTTATTTAATTTAGATATGATTCAAAAGGACAATTTACGTTCTCATATGTCCAAAAATACAAATGAACAACCTTTAAATATCTCATCTTCAGTCAGAAATAATTTATCTGAAGATTTTTATAGCCAACAATCGTTGACATCTAATGACACTTCATTTTCTTTAGACAGAAGCCCAAATGAAGATGCCAATTTGATTAATAGCGATAATGGTATACAAAAGGATAATTTACATTTCCATACGTCTAAAAATATCATAAGACAAAATGAGCAAACTTTAAATATCTCATCTTCAGTCAGAAATAATTTACCTAAAAGTTTTTATGACCAACAATCGTTGGCATCTAATGATATATCTTCTTCAGACAGAAGCCCGTCACCCGAAAGTGCTCATGATCAACGATCACCATTTCTATTAAATAGAAACCGTTCAAAGTCAACCAATATCGCATCACCTTCCTTAATTAGAAAGAGTTCTTTTGAAGAGGATTATGATCAGCAACCATTAGCATCAACCGCGATTAATACCTCATCTTTAATTGGCCTATTTAAGAATGATCTTGAAGTTTGCATGTATCTAGTACAGCACCCACAACTTGTTGAATTAGCATTAAATATGATGAAAGCAGGTGGTGGCCAGGAATTCATTACTCAGGGAAAGGTGGCAGATAAATTTAATGCACTTTCTGAAAAGGTAGATATTACAGTATATACCTACAACTGTTTTAATATTGGTAATTTAAATGTTTAATTTCTTATTTAATAGGATCTTGGCACTTTTCAAATGCATTTGAAGTGTTTTTTCTTTCGCACGAGAGTCATCAATAAACAAGTTATCGACACACTATTAAAATCTTTATTCCCAAATATTCAAAATAGTGCATCGGATTGTACAGCGCTACAAAAATGGGCTTTTTCATGCTTTCGTGATTATAATTTTTCATTAAGATGAGAACTTAGAAAACTTGTTCCAGAATTTATCAGGAAAAATAAGTAAGTTACAAATAATACTTGCTGTTTATTTACAAAAAAAAAAAAATAAATAATAAATAATAATAATAATAATAATAATAATAATTAACTAAACATATTTTAGATTAACCAAAACAAATCAGCCAACAACATGACAAATTACTGAATATATCACTGAAGACAACTGGACAACTTTCTTGAAACGCCATATAGATGTGACAGATATGCAAAAAACATTTGAAGAACAGCGTGTAAATGTTAACATGTTTACCGATTTTATAAAATCAGCCTTTGATCTCTTTGTTCAAGAAGAACTTTTGGACAAAGATGTTATCAATGACGTTAAAGACCTGAATTATAAGACGGTTGATATGGAAGTTTTCATAGCAGATGGAAAAGAAGCTTTACAACAAATAAACGTTAGGTCGCTTCTGAGGATAGAATAGCATGTATGTTATTAATTTACTTATACGTACGTACGTACAATGACAATAACCGCATTACCATTTTAATTTAACAATTGCCTTTTCTTATTATTGCAGGGATCTATATAATGCAGCCTTATCATACAAATTCTCAAAGTAATTGAACATTAAATACATTATAATTAAATCTAATAGAATAGAAAATATGTAGGCAAGGAGTTTCAGGAAATAAGTGAGAAATTTGCATGTACATTTACGCTCGAAAATTGAGTTCCTTATATTTGTCCATTATTTTACAAAAGCAAAAATTTTAACTTGTCGTTGCACCTCCATATATATATATTTAACTCATATTGTGATCACATGTATATAACTAAGTATTGTGAAATGCCATATATTAAAAGTTCAAATAAATTGATTTACGAAGTTAATAAGATTAGATTCGGAGTCAAGTAATAATCAAAACCCCACTTTAAGAAAATAAATATAAAGGCAGACCTATTAAAATTTTTATATTTCTTTTTTTCCACCTTTTCCCTGAATATTACCATTCAAAAATTATTGATATAAAAAACAAACCTTCACAAACTTGGTTTTTTTTCAACTTTATCTTAAATATATCACTTAGAGGTTATTGATTGAGTATTTTTAGTGGTGTTTCTTATAGTTATCCCTTTTATTATTGAGGTCATCTATTTAAAAATGAGAATACGAACTAATAAACCAACCAAAAAGACCATATTGCTTAAACGTGTCAATAAGAATCTACAAGAAGAATATGCGCGATCACATGCATATACTGTGCAAGATAATGAAATTCAAGTTTCGTCGGGTTCAATAAATAATGGATATGACAGCAGTAAAAATTTACGAGAAGGTTCATCATGCAGAAGTCAGTTTATTAATAACGATTTCGATTACAGTTTCTCTACAGCTTCAGATGCAATAAATAGCGTTTCAGACACGATGAGTGACAGTGACCAACTTATTAATGATTTCGAAAGCGATTTTTTTACAACTTCGGATGCACTGAGTAGCGCTTCAGACACAATAAGTAGTAGTGACCAATCAATGGTTATGAGTAAAATTGAATTACAAGAGACGAAAACAGAATGTGCACAATCTATAGTAGAAGACAATGGAATTAATTTTCAGCTACTATCCAGAGAGTACGGTCCATATTTTAAAAATTTTACAGAGATGTCGCTTTTTACATGGGTTACTAAGCACATGATAAGTGAGTATTATTAATAGGAATCTTCATGATTTATTTAATTTATTTTTAATTTTATTATCATTATTATTTTTTTCTTTGAATAATTATTTGAATAATTGATTACCTTATTTCAGCAACTAAGTCGTATAAAGACCTTGTATGTATTATAAAGCATTCTAACTTTCGACCCAATCAAGTAATTGAGAACGTTCAGCGATTAAGGTCATTAAGAAATCACCTCCCACTTCAAACAATAAAATGCCATAAAGTTTCAATTAAAGACACAAATACACTATCAACATCAACTCCTTACAAGGATGCATATACTATATTCGTAAGCGAGCACATCCGAAGAGTTCTAAGTAATAGAGATTTATGGTTACAAATGTATTTCGGGCCGGGAGTCGAAACTGAAATAAAATCAGAGTTCTGGCACGGGAGCATTGGCAAGAATCGCCTTTTTTTGGCCCGTCCTCAATACAAATAAATCAAGATAATATTTATATGAAATGTAAAATAATGGTTTGCTAATAATTTTAAACTATAACTAAGCTTATATTCCATCTTTTTGTTTCAATTTTTTTTTAATAATAAATTATATTTAGAATTATATAAAATAGAGTTATTCATTAAGTACAAAGACCAAAAAATAAGGATCAGAAGAATTATGGTGATAGTCTCAACCTCCAATGGTAATAAATTGAAAGTTCAACTTCTTTATTTTGGTTCAGAATTGCCAAGAGCTTTTACAAGTTCAGCAAGGATAGAACAATCACGGAATGGTGAATTATGGTTAAGCGAAATAACATACTTAATTGATCCACTTAATGTGATTGAACTGGTTAAAGTTTGGCTTAAAGATATTTCTAAGCTACCGAATTATCAATTTTATGTGAGTGAAATCTTATATAGTCATAAAGGCCGATGGAAGATAAGAGACTGCAAATTACGACATCTTCACCCAATTGAATACACACAAATTCCAGCATAAGCTTCTCATAATGTGCCTACGTTTAAAATAATGCTAGACATCTATTATGACGACTTCGGCACTTTCCGAAATATATATCATTCTCTGGGTGGAATCTATCTTCAATTTTGTAATATGCCTTTACGGCTAAGACAAAAACTTAAAAATCATTTCGTTTTGGGCTTTGTTCCATTTGGAGGAGAGTTCAATGATGTAATGAAACCAATAATAAATGAGATTAAAAATTTAGAAAAAGGCACTTTATTTAATATTGCGGGTCAAGACATATGGGTAATTGCTGCTTTGGGTGTTATAACCGCTGACCTCCCTCAAGGTAACGATCTTGCTGATACGAAGCGTCATAGTGCTAATCAAGGATGCAGAAGTTGTTTGGCGCCTAAGAAGCGATTGTGTAATCTTACTTTTGATGTTAAGTTAAATGCAAGATATCATCATCTTATGAATAAAAAAATGAGCAAGCTAGAAGAATTAGTACAAGAGAGAGCATCACAAAAAACTATTAATGATTATTGTACTAAACATGGTTTAAGTGTGCATTTTAGTATTTTTAATCAGATAATACGTAACCATCATTTGCAGACTCCACAGGACGTATATCACGCTGTAGCTGAAAAAGTACAAAGGTTAATGGATTGTACTTTTTCAATATTAAGTCCAATAGGAAAATCCACATTTTTAAAATATTGGAAAAACTTTGAGACACCGTCCAATTGGTATTGTCTCCCTAACCCAATCAAACACTTTAATAGTTTCATGTTTTCTGATTGTTTGCGGTTGGCAATGATAATGCTATTTTTATTACGGCGATTTTTATTAACAACATATATTAAAGATGCTGATTTAGATTTGCTACGAAAACGTCTTACAACATCAACAAACAAATGATTAAAGGCAACACAAATTGTGAATGAAATTATTTTGTGCTGGGTGGCCGTTGCAAAAGCATCCCGTTTAAGTTTCAGTTTTACCTTTACTGAGCAAACCTATATGGAATTAGATGAAGCTCTAAAAATAGAACATGTTCTTCTATTAAAAGTGAGTATATCCTGCTTGTAGTATTATGGTGACAAAAATTTTATATTTTTTGTAATACTGTATGTACGTACGTGTGGGTCTTGATTTGACGATTGTAATAAATTTTTTGATATTATTGTATTTCAGCTTTTTTCAGATAATTTCAATAATTTACCAAACTTGCATATAAATTGACACCATGTTCAGAATGCCTGCAACTTTGGGACGCTCGTAAACATCTCCGTGGGAATCAAGGAAGCGGTACACAAAATCTTCAAAAGTTCTGTTACGAAAATGAATTGTAAGAATGTGGAATTAGATTTCATTTGACGACACAATATGCTCCAAACAATTCGTTATCTGATCGATAGAGGCAAAGATAGCCGCTTTCAATATATTGGACAAGGTTTTCAAAAGTTTACAACAGATCCATTACTTCAACCTATATTATTTGATTGGCATATGGCACAGAATATTCAAGAAAAGGATACGAATGTTATTAGTAAGTACAAATCGATATACATTAATTTTAATTATCGAAACTCCAGAATAAACAAAAAAGTGAATATAAACCTTAAGCCAGGTAATATTTTATTTCTATCACATGATTATGATTTATTTTATTTATCATCATTATTAAGTATTAACATTAATACTTAACGAATTCTCGACGGTTTCTTAAAAAGGAAATAACTTGAACAAATGTGAAAGGGAATAATGTCTATACCAATATACAAGTAGGTGGCGTTTCCTCACATACCTCTAATTTTAAGGTCATAATTCTAAATTACTAACTTTCATATATTCGTAAAAGGATTAACTTTTTTATGTATTCGACATTTCTCTTCGATTCAAACTGTTCTTGGAGTTTCTATTTACTAAAGATTTTAAGCAAAAACTATCGTTATTATTATTAGTATAATAACGTAATTTTTTATTACAATAGATACAAATATCACGTCACATGATGATAAAATAAGAAACATCAAAACACGAAAATGTCTATCAAAAAGTAAAGTCTACCAGCTTTCTTTACCTATTAACCTTGACGACAATCTTCAATTTACCTATGATGTCATAAGCGCATATGATATTTATATGGAAAAAAGGGCAGCTTTAATATATAAGCATGTGGAATTTTATAAACAGATAAGATATACTTTATTAAACGATGATGCTACATTTGATACGTATGTGAATTTGCATTCTGGTGATATAGTGCAAATTCAGGAAGAAAATGGTCTATCATACGCTATATTGAAGGGAATATTTACGCATAAATATAATGACGGTTTAGTATATTCATTTATTTGGGTTGATTGGTTGCGAGAATGTTCAATACTCAATCTGATTCTTCATTGTCCAGTTTACGAAATACAAATAGCTGGAAACACACAGTGGCACCGGGTCTACCCGATAAGTCTTATCGATAATTTATCGAAGGTTCATTTTGTACATCGCTGTCATTCAACATGTACTTCAAATTCACATGATTCCTCAAATAACCAATATGTTAGAAATGAGTTTTATTATACAGCAATTTAAATAGTTCAAGGGAAAATTTTAAATTTTAATATCGATTAATTATTTCTTTTAGAGATTTTATTCGTTAATCTTATATAATTTAAATTTCTTAGTCAAACATGCATACAAATTAAGCAACGTATTTTATACCATTGGTGAGTAAGATTTTGAACATAATTTTTATAGTGCATAACAATGACTGATCTTAAACTATTTCAATATCTAGAGTAACGCTTTTGTTAAATTGCATATTCGACTTCTCGAAGTTCGTTATACATTGTATGTAAATAAATTGATCTCAACATCTGTATCGTTAATTTTTATTATATTATCTCACAATAAGATTACTTTATCGTCTTCACAATTACCTATTAAAATCCAGATCAGGTCCTCATATCTAACCTTTCGAATAATTTCACATGTTTAATTTTTCACCCTATTTACCATTGCATTAACTGACTAATATTGATTGCTTAATTTTCGTGATATTTGCCATTTAATTATTTCGCGTTGATTTAATATGTGAGTATAAAGAATATTTATTAAGTATTTCAAATACTATTTAAATTTATGAATACCTATTATTTAAACTTATATTATTCGTGCTAATTTAGTTCGAATAATCAAATTTAAAATAAGCTATTCAAACACATGAATATTCACTGCCTAATTTTCATTTCACGTGAGTAAAAACAATTCATATTATATCAATATACTATTTAATTTTATTCAATTAACCTAAGTGTTTAAAATAGGATATTTCAGGCTTGTGAATACACTATTTAATTTCTTCGATTAATTAAGTGCCTAAAATAAGCGATTCATATTTGCTATGTAATAACGTAAATATAAAGAACATCGATTAATTTAAATTAAGCATTTAAAATTCACTGTTCAAGCATTAATTCATTTCAATGTGAGTATAAAGAACATCGATTAATTTAAGTGTTTAAAATAAGCGATTCATATTTACGATTTAATATCATTTAGAATGTGAATATAAAGAACATCAATTAATTTAAATATTTAATAGGCTATTCAAGCTTATGAATATTTATATTTAATATGCTGTTAATCTAGTATGTGAGTATAAAGGGCACATAATCTAAAGATTTATAATAATCTATTCAGGATGAATTTCATTTGACAGGCTTAGTGATTTTAAAAAATCGAAGTAGGATTTGGCATGTATTTTTGATTGAATGTTACATGAAAACTTGAAAGATGATAATAACATATAAAGACTTGTGGACTATCTAGTATCGTTGCGATCAAGACCTTGGCTGGTCTAATGAAAATCCTCATGATTTTTGGAAGAAGTAACAGTAAGTTAAATCATTATTCACTATAATGAATGTGAAATAATTTTTTTATAACATAAATTTATAATGTTTGACGGTCTCATGAAATGTGGATTATGGATAGTAAGCTTAACATACAGATTGACTCAAAAGCACAGAATTTAAAGATTATTTAATGGCACCGTATTTCAATACTGATAATAGAAATCTTTATCATTATATGTTTATCAGGTCCAGCTGTAGATACTTCCTAATGAAGAGTAAATTGGATCTTGATGAGTTTTTTGCTAAAAAAAGCAACGTATATACTGGTACGTAACTTATTTGTTTCGTACGTTGTAACTATGTATTACAAGAGTTACAAGTTCCAACGTGCTTTATTGAACTTATTATATTACGTAATATATGGAAACGTTAACTATATTTTATTAGAATCAGATTTATAAAAATATTGCTTTTATACCTTGTTAGTTCGAGAAACTTTCCAGCAGTCAGTGACTCTTTTCATCGGTTAGTAACTCTATCTGTCAATGGCCCAACGATTTCGAAGCCTACAGCCGACGTGGCTTATTGATCCGTAGCATACAAAAATTAAAAAAAAACTCTATATTAAGCGTAACAGCATATGTAAAGAAGTTATTTTATGTTTAAAATATAAATAAATATTAATTCTGTGATCCAAATGTACTGAGACTTAGAAAGACAGAGGTAAGACACTTATTTATTATCAAGCATTTGATATAAATAAGTCTAATCGAATGTATCAAGTCGGTCATTGTTATTATTTAAGGATTGATGCTAAAATAGATAAGTATAATCATTTAAATTATATGAATAGTTGTTCCAAGGAATTATGTGAGGAGTAAATTGTTATTAATTATTTATAATCGAATTTTGCATTGTTTTATTTTTACATCTGCTAGTAAAGATAAAGACGATTTTATAAAGACAAGAGGGCTATTTAAAGTAGAGACACAATCGTACTTCTTTTGGATCAAAGTGGAAAATTGAATTTGAAATAAGCTTTCGCATTTGTGCTAAAGCTTAATTTTGCTATAGCGAAGGTAAGATGCTACAAAGCAGATTGTTGTTTTGGTTTCGGCATAATGAAATGCTATTATTTTAATTATCATAATCATTATAACTGTAATCGTTATAATCATCGTTATAGTCGTCATAATTGTAATCATTATAATCGTCGTTATAATCATCGTAATCATCGTAATCGTTTAATCATTATAATCACTGTAATCGTTATAATCGTCATAATTGTTATAATTAATCATAATTATCTTAGTATGTATCTTTACTTGTTTCTTTATTGGTATCTTTTTTGGTATCTTCGTTGGTATCTTTATAGACTTCATGAGGATCTTTATTATCCTTTTATTATTATTTTTGTTACCATCTTTATTACCATTCTTATTATTTCTTTATCATTATTCTTGTTTTCATCTTTGTTATTATTCTTATTGTTATTATTATTATTATTATTATCTTTTTTTTACAGTTATTATTTGCAATAATATAGTTATTAGTTTATTCATTGTATTGGTATTATAAATATGTAAAATAAATATGTAATTTGTATAATTTTTATAATAAAATTGTGTTAAATAAATAATTTTATAAGCATTGTATATATATTATTATAGCATAGTAACAATATAAAACTATACTTTTACAATGTATTGTACAATGCAAAGTAACAATACTAATAATTATATATAAATAATGTAGTAACAATGTAATAATTATATTGTTAAATTTTTTAAAGTTTCAGCAAAGTTCTTACCCCAACTCCTGCTATATATGCCAACAACCTACTGATGCACTTCATTGGGTATCTTGCCCCTCATCTGATCTAATACTCAAACTGCTTGATACATCTCTACAACATATCATAACTCCTAGTAAACTTTAAATCTCTTATACCCAAATTCAACATCTTCTTAGTCAAATTAGAAGCCTCGACAGTCTGCAAATTCATGCATTTAACTTCAAACCATCACTGTTCTCTACAATCACTAGTCTTGTTCCAATTGATATTATCAACACTATATAAGACTATACCTCATCTTACAACTTTGCCTGCTCTTTAGCTATTCAATTTCTTCTTCATTTTAATCAACAAATCTATACAAATATCTGGATTCCCTACTGCACTTCAAGATCACAATCTAACCTCACTTCCAGTATTAATAACAATATTACTTCTGTTAATTCCACTATATCTCTGCCAAGCCAAATAGTTTCTTCTGAAAATTCCTCTAATATATCTATACTTGACCAACTTGCTAAATTAGAAATCTGGTATCCCAACTAGATTAAATTCTCTTCACACCCTCTCTTATTCTTACTTACCCTTAATCTAGATGAGCCTTGGCTACTCTGGTAGGTTTAGGTTACAGATAAGTATTTAGGTTTATTTAGATATATGTCTAAGTTCTTTTTCTTGGTTTTAGATTTAAAATATATAACCTTTTTCGATTATGTAAGAAGTTTTTGTTAAATCTAATAAAGACAAGAGCATGGTCTCACCTTTAACATTAAAAAAAAATAAAAAAATAAAAAAAAAAGGTCCTGTAAAAAGTTAATAAAAGATTTGAATTTAGAATTATAATATTTGTTGCAAAAACTAGTATTTAAGTTGCTATTACAAAAGATATAATATTTGAATTAACTAAACTTTTTAATAATTTATAATAAAATACTATTGTAATACTAGATTAAATATAGAAAAATATACTAGTTTAATATTAAAATAAGTAGATCATTATCAAATTTAGAAAACAATAAATAGTATTTTTTAAATAATTATTTTAATAATAGTCTTTTTAAAATAACAAATTTAGAATATTCAACTCTTCCCAAGAATCACTTGTACCAAATTTTCTACAAACAAAAAACAAAAATTTTGCTAGAGTTAGATGAAGAAGTATATACAGAGTAATAGTTTTTATAAAGGTCACCCAAGTTTTGCTCTTCTTGAAGACTCCTTTATCCTTTAATATATAGACCAATATAGGCAAATTTGTCTGCATTTTTGCACTTTTTTAGCTCTGATTTATTTTTTTAAAATGTCAAAATATTTAAATAAAACTTTGCACAATTATATTTGAAAATAAAGATTACTTTTTTGCAAAATTAGTTTTTATAAT